ACAGGGCTGAGAGGATCATGGTTTGCTGATCGAAGGTCATTCCCGCATCACACCACCTCGCTGGCGGAGTTGTTTTCGGCATCTATTTTGCCAAAACTCCCTTCCCACCCACACATCCCTTAACCCCCATTTTTCGCTTCAAATCAAACAACAGCTCCATAGCAATCGTCAGGCTGCATTGTGTGTCTTAAACCTGCTCTTCCATTCAGTCTCACGTGGTCAAGTTCACTCTACACACCACGCCACCTCGCTGGTAGAAGTGTTTTTAAAAACCCCTTCCTGACACAACGAGACGCTGCACGAAGTGTCGGGAATTTTGGGAGGTGTTTTTGTGCCAATTTCATCTGCCCCCTTGCCTGTGTTTCGCACGAACAACTACGAAGTAACTCTAGTAGCTTATATGAAAACAGCTCCTGCAATTGGGTACTTCTTCGTTTGGGTGGTTGAAATTTATGCTGAAGGACGTGTGGACAGTGAGCCTAGTCACATCGTTTTCGTACACATGACAGTTAGTCAGCTGTGGCCCTCCAACTGCCTTTCCACACCTCTCACATACATCATAATTTCCTCATGTGTTACCGGTCGTCGAGTTGACATGCTCCCTATCTCCTTACAGGCAGCCAAAGTGAGGCGGCATACTCCGACATTCTGAAGTTTTCTTTCCGTTTTAGAAAACCCGACAGGATGTCGTACGGATAGCAGGACATCATCGGTTGCCCGCGAACTGACCTGCCAGAGTGTGGGCGTTGAGGTTTCGAATGAGTTCTGCACATCCAGACAGCAATTTCCAAAAATAACGGACTTTGAATAAACCGCCGCCGGTAAGGTTACGTTCAGTCACGGAGGCATGGAAATCTCAGCCAGTGGTATCGGCGGATAAGCGATGTTTACCGTCACAGTGAATTTCAGTGGACACGTTGGAGTTGCCACCAACATGGGGCCCTACACCCTATCGTTGCCGATCGCACTTTCTGTCCCGAGTCTTATGCAGTCGCCGTACCCAAAATGATTGTTGGAGTCTACATAGATTTTACCAGGTTTAGGAAATAGGGACAATGTCAACCCGACGACCGGTAGCACATGAGGAAATTGTGATATATGTGGGAGGTGTGGAAAGGCAGTTTGAGGGCAACAGATGACTAACTGTCATGTGCACGAAAACGATGTAACTAGGCTCACTGTCCACACGTCCTTAAGCATAAATTTCAACCACCTAAACGAAGAAGTACCCAATTGCAGGAGCTGTTTTCATTTGGACTACTAGAATTACTTTGCAGTTGTTAGTGCGGAACACAGGCAAGGGCGGCAGATGGAATTGGCACAAAAACACCTCCACCAAATTCCCGCCTCTTTGTGTCAGGGAAAGGGTTTTTAAAAACACTTCTACCAGCGAGGTGGCGTGGTGTGTAGAGTGAAATTGAGCACGTGGGACAGAATGGGAGAACAGGTTTAAGGCACACATTGGAGCCTGACGATTGCTATGGAGCTGTTGTTTGACTTGAATTGAAAAATGGGGGTTAAGGGATGTGTGGGTGGGTATTTTGGCAAAATAGATGCCAAAAACAACTTCACCAGCGAGGTGGTGTGATACGGAAATGACCTTCGATCAGCAAACCATGATCATCTTAGTCCTGCGTGCACTGTCAATTCCCCGACGGCTGGTTCCCTGTCGGTAGATGCGTTTGCGCTTCCGCTGTGTATACAGATGTTTAGCATGGTTGCCCAGTCATCCTCGTCATCTTTCGGACCCATTGTAGTGTTGTTGTTGTCGGTTGGAATCTTGGTTTAGTACCAGAAAACTGCCAA